ATTCACGCCGTGATATTCAGTTGGACACGGATGTCACGTCCCTTTGTTAATCATGCGTGGTCATTTGGTAATGTTCTTCGAGGTCTTGGAATTCGAACCGGACTCCGAGGCGTGGTCTCGATGACTCCGAGGGCAGGTGTTTTGCTCGGACCCTGATGCGAGAGGCTCCTGGCTTCGATTGCGATTTCTTGCAGTTATGTCCTTGCTTCGTTTGCCTCACCAAAAAATCGGAGTACTCATTAGCCTCGATTTTACCTGTACAGACATGTGAATCCAACATACAGAGGAGCTGGAGTTATCGCAGGATCAGAACCCAAACCATGTCACCTAGGTAAAGTTCCATGCCCCATCACTGGTCTAAATGTCTAAATCAAATAAAAAGTTACATTATTAAGAGTTAGTTTTAAAATTATTAAATGTTTGCAGGTCTTACATTAACTTACTCAAAATGAAGTGTCTGATTTCCATCAAGATAGCTAACCACCTCTATTATTACAGTCTCCACGTCTAGAATTAGTTGGTGGGAATATAAATGAGAGAGATTCTCAAAAGGACATTTGAGAATTGAAATGTTGTATCTTTCTCTTTTCTTCACAACTACGATTGTACCCATGTAAAAAGTATTTCACCGAATTACTACTATTCAAAGGGCCACCTGTAGCCAACTTCTTAGTTAACTATTCTCATTTTCCAACTTTGTTGGCATAATCCATCTAACTTGTAACGTTATGAAATTATTTTTTGATCATTTTTCGGTGTCAGTAATTATAATAGTAGGTGATATATAGTATTTGTAAAAGGTGTAAGAAATTGTATGATTGGTGGTGTTTTTGAGCAACAAAGATTAATAACAACGTTTATTGATTGAAACAAAAACGAAATTGAATAAAAGTTGTTACTCAAAGTAAACAATTGACTCTTCCAATAGTGATACTATCATACAAGCAAAGCAGAGCCGGATTTAGAACTTTTATAATACACTAAAGAAAGGAGAAAAAAAATATTTTCTGTTCTTCTAAGTAAATAACTCAACATTCAACCAAGTGCACTATTTAATTTCTTTAGAGCATGGGTGTCAGCAGATAATATTAAATCAATTTAAAAAAAATTGTACATAAAATATATACCTAGTTTGACTGAATGAGAATAAGTTTACGTACCACATATATTGGGCTATAAAATCCGCCCCAGCATGCAAGCCAGGGGCATACCCACGGAGGTTCAAGAGGGTTCAAATGAACCCGCTTCGTCAAAAAAATTTGATATTTATATATGTTAACTTCCGTAAAATGTGTATATCTATTATAATTGAATCCGCTTGACCAAAGGTTATCTTGTCACGCGGGTTCAAAGTGTTGTGCAGGTCGGGAGTTCGAAATCTATTGCTACAAAGATTTTTTGGGATTTTAGTTTATTCTTTTTTCCTTTTTCTTTTTTCTTTAAAATTATGAAGACCTAGCCTTGCTAGCTAATTAGCTTATTCCTCTTATTTTATATTTAGTCTTTTTTACCAAACCCAACAAGAGTTATTGTACCGTCGATTTTACTTCAAAAGATCAAAAATTGCAACAAAGTGAAATCTTACATTAGTTTTGCTAAAATACAAAGGGCAGTCATTAAAATTAGGGTAAAATTATTTATAATTTGTTAGTTCCTTTTAAATTAGTTATGCTAAATTATTTATTTATGTTACATTAAAATTATTAGTTTACTCTATATGCTCTCTTCTCTATAGTCTGTATTAGTTTGTTTTAAGTTATACTTACTCTTTAATTTTGTTATCTTTTGTTTGTGAATTAACGACTTTGTTCTTTATCAATAAGAAAAAGATTTTTGATTTGTCAAATTTTATTACAGTCTAATGAATAAATTGGGAAAATAAAATTCTTATTATATTTCTTGCCCATCTTTTTGAGAAAAAAATACAAAATGAATGATGATCTCAACTTTTTAAAATTGTTCGGGTAGCATTATGATCCCCCACCAAAGAAAAAAAGAGCGACACAAATCTCGCTTGCCGGAACCACCCTTATAGCCGCATAATATCTTTTTTCACTGAACCCGCTTGCGTGAAATTGTGGGTCCGCTACTGATGCAAGCTAGAACAAGCAAATAACATTAATTTTCATGTTGTTCTTCAAGTTCATTCCTTCCTGGTTGGATAATAAAAAGAAAAACCTAAACAACTCATTAGTCTAGATATTATGGAGTAATAATCTTTGGATTTAACTTCTCTTACACAGACAGTACGAAATTGTTTTGCACTCTCAAGTCTCAAGTCACCTTGAAGGTAATTTAAAGAATAATCTGAGAAATAATACAAGTAACATTATACTACAACAAATTAAATTTGAGCTGAATGTGTAAATTTATTAAAATTGTCAGTGATATTATAAGATAAATGTATTATACTTTTGACTGATAGTAACGTGGAATTGTGCAGAACATTCTGAATTGAGGAGGAAATGAATGAGAGTGTATGAGACAATGAAAGGGTAACGACTTGGGAAAATGAGCAAACATTTGGTTCCCATACTGGGTGAAAAGCAGGCATATCCAAAAGGACCACTTCAATTTCTAGTTTACTGCCATATTCAATGTACCCACCTCCAAATAATTAAAAGCTGTAGAATTCTTCATTCCAACCAGATTCTGTATATTGCCTCCATCCACGGCCAATATATATATGTCAAAATCTTTGGTTTTTTGTGCACAACGCCATTCCTTTTGATCTTCTACCCATGTTTTGCATTTATTCCCTCTTACATAATTCATTTCCATGCATTTCTCACAAACAACTCATACATTTTTTTTTCCTTCAATAATGTTGATGGTACTTATAGAACCGTATGGGGTAAAACTGGTTTATAACAAATAGTCGAATGATAATATGACACGTGAAACCGAAGATAGGCAAAAGTCAAGTCAAGTAACGACCAATACCGGATACAACAAATGCAACCGATATTGGGTAAATCCCGAAGGGAGCATAGTCAACGGGAGAAGATTAAGTATTTGCCATCGGATAGTATTCAATGAAGGAATATTCTCTAACATTAAATGATCGACCGTTACAGAGACTATTTGCATTCATGGCCTGCCGTTACATGCTCATCAATAGCTATTTTATTATCATTTAAGAAGAGATTGATCATAGGATTTTGTTTCACTAGGTAAAGCTATAAATAGTATGTTCAACAACCATTGTAAGAGACGAAATACTTTTTGCATACAAAAGCTTTATCTTGTTACTTTTACTCTCAATTTAACAACTTTGCTTAAATTTTATCGTTATTCTCATTTTTTCTCTCGGAGCCATGCTTGTCATCTTCTTTAATTTCTATTACTAATCTTAATATTTATCTTATCTCATTATTAATTTTTGGATCAAATCAATTTGCTTGTCTATTAACTACGTAATAAATTTAATTGTATCGTTTTGCGGATAAACAGTTTGGCGCCCGCCGTGGGGCATAGACAGCTGCGTAATTGCTTTGATTCATTCGTTTATCACTACCTTGTTTGATTTTTTCCTTAGTAAGAAATCAGATGTAGCAGCTAATGATGTCAACATCACATAAAACGTTGAGGAACGTGAAGATTTGCCTCAACATGATGACTCAATCGGCGACACCCATAATGAAGGGATGAAATAACCCCGGTTTGTGAAGGGCAGTATAAACCCCCCCCCCCCCCCCCCCCCCCCCCCCCCCCCGGCATGTGTGGGAGCACCCTCCCGATGACGCGGAGGAGGAACGTGTTGTGGAAATAGTGAAAATCTTAAGAGAACAACATAAAGCAATCATGAGTCACCTCTCAAGGCAGGATCGGGTAATGACGGAGTTAAAACAAGCATTGTTAGGCGCTTCCAACAATACAAACGGAAAAGGGCCCGGTTCCTCCAGCGTTCCTGCAAATCAAAACATACTAAGGGGTGAAGTTTGTTTCGACGGTGCAGGAGGGACCGGTAGCGGATCTGGGAATAGTAACGGGAATGACCCCTTCAAAACCGTGCTCATGAGGTTTAAAAGGGAAATGAACGAATAAATGGATCAAAATGCGAATGATTTTCATGCCCGAATGGATCAGATTTCAGGCGCACCGCCAGTTCTGAAAGGCCAAAATTCAAAAAAATACACGCAATTGTCGTTTAAGCCGAGCGCAGTGCCAGAGTTAATTCCGAAGAGGTTCAAGATGCCGGATATACCAAAGTATGATGGGACCTCGGATCTGCAGGAACACATCATAACCTACACCATGACTGTGAAAAGGAACGATTTGGCTAAATATGAGATTTAGTCTATCTTGCTAAAGACGTTTGATGAAACCCTTACAAAAGGGGCCCTGACATGGTATTCTCTTTTACCCCAACATTCAATTGACTCTTTTGAGATGCTTGCAGACTCGTTTATTAAGGCCCACGCAGGAGCAAGGAAGGTTTAGGCCAGAAACGCGAACATATTTAGGATTGCACAAGGTAAGTCTGAACTGTTGCGAGAGTTCGTGTTCCGTTTCTAGAAGGAGAGGATGATGCTACCGGCGGTACTAGATGAGTGGGCAGCGGAGGCGTTCACAAAGGGTCTAAATTCGCGGAGCTCCGACGCCTCCTGAAAGCTGAAGGAAAGCCTGCTCGAGTTTCAAACAACCACATGGGAGGATGTCCATACCGCTATGAGTCTAAAATAAGGATAGAAGATAATCAACTTGGGTTCCTGATATCAACCAAGGGAAGGGCAATAAAAAAACTAGGATAAGTTTAAAAGTGACTTTGATGAGGATCGTCGGTCCTCTAAAGGTCGTTTCCTGCTGTATGAAAGAATCGAGGGATGCGGAGCAAAGGGTTTTAGACCTCAAATAGGTTTGCTCCTAATAGAAGAACCGACTGTGGCCGGAGCATCAGATCATTATAAGAAAAGGAGGTGCCAGGGGCTTGGTTCTACACATATCCCAGGTTATCAGATTACAACTTCAACATCAGCTTAGTAGAGTTGGTATCGGCGATGAGGAATATCAAAGAAGCATGTTTCCCAAAGCCAGTCAGATCTGATCTGGGCCAGAGGGATCTCAGCTTGTGGTATGAATACCATGGGACTCACAGCCATAGAACTGTAGACTGCCGACGTCTTCGCGAAGAGGTTGCGATATTACTGAAAAATTTCCATTTCAAGGAATTCTCGAGTGATCGAACCAAGAACAATTACGGCCGAAGCCGGGATAATGCAGAGCCTTTGAAGGCAATAAAAGACTCCCCTCGGTTGACTATTAACATGATTTTTGGTGGAAATGAAGTCAACGGTGTAAGCTTCTCAACGGCTAAGAAAACAAAGATATTAGTGACTCACAACAAGAGACGCCCGGGAGTCACGAAAGATAATATCACCTTCATGGAGGAGGATGCTGATGGACTTCTCCTGCCACACAACGATGCTTTGGTAATCTCTCTTAATGTTTTAGATTTCAAAATTAAATGTATTTTGGTTGACCCAGAAAGCTCAGAAAACATCATCCCATGGAAAGTGCTGGAGCAAGCAAAGCTGACCGGAAGTATCATTTCGAAGACAAAACTCTTAGCTGTATTCAACTTGACAAGTGTGACAACTCAAGGAGAGATTTTGCTTAAACGCCAAAGGATGGATCAAAACCTCTATGTTCGAAGTGGTAGATAGCGATATGGGTTACGATGCAATCCTCAGAAGGTCATGGATACACGAGATGAAGGCTATTCCCTTAACATATCACTAGTTGTTGAAATTCCCAACACTGGAAGAAGTTAAGCAAATAAGGGGAGACTAACTGGCGGCAAGGGAGATGAATGCGGTGACTATATCTAGCAGCAAGGAGAAAGATCCAACAAATAGCAATTACAGGATTCGATGCCTTCTCCCTTTCCAAATGAAGATGATAAAGGCAAGGAGTTGTCGGAATCCCACCAGGTGCCGAGATATTTTCAGGTACCGGAGGAGCCGGATGCAACCAAGTCAACCGCGGAAGAACTCGAGAAAGTGGCCCTATTTGATGAATTTTTGGAAAGGAAGTTTCACTTTAGAACATGACTCAATCCCGAACTCAGGTTAGAAATTATAAATTTTCTTAAAGCTAACACAGATTGCCTATCGTGATCGCACTTAAATATGACATGTATCCTATTAAAGGTGGTTGTGCACAAGCTAATCCTGGATCCAAACTTCCCACCGATAAGGTAGAAGAAACATCTGATTGCCGAGGTCATGAACAAGTTTGTTAAAGAAGAGGTAACCCGACTACTCAATATCGGTTTTATACGGGAGGTAAAATATCCAGAATGGTTAGCTGGTGTAGTGGTAGTTCCGAAGAAGAATAACAAGTTTAGAATGTGTGTGGATTATAAGGATTTAAATAAAGTGTGCCCTAAAGAATCGTTTCCATTGTCATACATTGATCAAATGATTGATGCTATATCCGGGCACGAGTTAATGCATTTCCTTCTTGCTTATTTCGAGTACAATCAAATCAGGATGAACCCGGAGGATCAGGAAAAAAACTTCTTTCATAACAAACTTCGGAACATAGTGCTATAATATGATGCCATTTGGGGTTAAGAACGCAGGAGCCACTTATCAGAGGCTCGTTAACAAAATGTTTGAATATAAAATAGGCAAAATGTTGAGTATTGAGGTTTTGATGATTAACAAAGTATGTCTAGATGCAATGATTCAAAGAACCAGATCCTCAACGTAGCTGCTTAATTGTTCTACGAACTAGCTCTTCAAGATAAAGGACCAGCTCCTCAAGTTGATGATTGTACGTCTGTACAAGACAATAACGTTATCTCAAAGTTACCCAAGTCTGAGTTTGGTGGAAGAAGGATGGTACATGAGATAAGGGTTGTTGCTCAAGAAGATACGAATAATTCAGTCCGAGACAAGAGTCCCAAAGCTTGTGGAATCCTTGAAACAATAGGAGTCCTATCAAAGGAGAATCTAACTATGTATAGGACTCCTAGAATATCTCAAGTTTATGCGTTTAAATACTATCTACTTTGGACTTCTGCTTTTATCCTTTACACATCAACTAAAGAGTCATGTTGTTCATTCTAGTCGAGTACTTGCATTGTATTCTTCTTGAGTCAGTCTAGCAAATGTGTTTTAGGAAATCGAGTTGTAATCAAGTGTAACAAATAATTACTGAGTTGGAGTGAGTTTTGCTTTACAAGTTAGAGTAACTTGTAAATCAACTAGTCGTAGTAGGAGTACTAGAGAGTATTGAATTACAGTCTTGTAATTGATACATTTTTGGCTCATTGTTCTTATGGAGTTGAAGTTTAAAATCCTACGCAGTAGGTCGTAGTTTTTGCACCTTTTGAGTCGGTTAAATTTTTCACGTAAAAATTGGTGTGTTTACTTTCCTTCAAGTTAAGGAATACGGTAAAGAACCAAGTTCTTTAGTGAATCATACGGTCACTCAAATTAACAATTGGTATTAGAGCATGTTCTCTCACACACACGGTTAACACCTAGAGAGATCCTGGAAGCAAGATGAGTGCTCCACCCGGAATTAATAAAGGATAATCAACTACCAGACTACCCATGTTTAATGAAAAATATTATAGTTGGTGGAAAGAAAGAATGGAAGACTTCCTAACAGCTGAAGACTATGAACTATGGACCATAATGATTCAAGGTCCATTAACTCCCACTAATCAAAATGCACAAAATGAAACAATTCCTAAGGACCCCTTTGAATTTGTGGCAGCATATCTCCGAATGATGGAGAAGAATGCAAAGGGTAAGAAAATCCTTATTTGTGGACTTGGTCCTGATGAGTACAATAGAATTTATACGTCCTCTAATACAAAACAGATATTGGATGCCCATGAAGGAACAAACCAAGTGAAAAGATCAAGGATAAATCTACTTATGAAAAACTATGAGCTCTTCTCCATGAAAGAGTGAGCCCATCCAGGATATGATGACTAGGTTTACTATATTAACCAATAAATTGAATTCATTTGGAAAGGTGTTCACCTCATAAGAGTTGGTCAACAAAGTTCTAAGGATTCTTCCAGCTTCATGGGAATCAAAAGTCACAGCAATCCAAGAAGCCAAGGAGTTGGACAAAATCTCACTTGATGAGTTGGTTGGAAACTTAAAACTCATAAAATAAGAAAGATAGAACTGCACAAGGAAGAATCAAAGAGGGATAACGCCTTGGTTCTTAAAGCTTCGAAGGAAGATGAATATGACAATGATGATCCTGATCTAGCTATGTTTGCCAAGTTCAAGAGGTTCATGAAGAACTCCAAAAGTGCATCCAAGAGAGAGACCAACAGTAAGCCTAAGCAGGTCGACAAAGCTAATTATGATGGGTGCTACAAGTGTAGCAAGCTAGATCACATCGTCAAGGACTACCCAATGTAGGAAATTCAGTGGAGGAAAGAACGAGCTAAAAAGGAGAAACGGGAGAAGATGGGAGAAAAAAGTTCCAACAAAGGAAAAATCCTAGGTAAAGGATTCACTGAAGCAATGAAGCAAGCTTTCTTGGCAGCATATGAGGATAGTGGAAGTGATAAAGAGAAAGAAAAGGAGAATGAGACTATAAGTCTCTATGCTGTAATTGATGAACACCGGTCTGTGGAGACAGAGCCACCAGTGCAGCTTGGAATGCATATTGGAAGACCTTCTTTGTTTGATGAACACCACTATTATGAATGAAAGCTACGCATGGAAACATTTTTTCAGGCCACTGACTTTGACCTATGGGTAATTGTCAGTCATGGACCAATTCTCTCGACCAAAATAAATAGTGAAGGTAACAAGTTCAATAAGAGAGAAGAGGAATACGATGAGGAAGACCGTCATCTAGTTCAAAAAAATGTTAAAGCAAAGGACCTGCTCTACAAAAGCTTGTCAATAAACACTCTTTTCAAAGTGTCCTCTTGCATTCTGCTCATGCTAAATGGAAGACCTTGGAAGCTGACTTTGGAGATGAAAACATCAAAGTGGCATTGATGGCGATTAAAGAATCCCAAATAGAGGAAGAAGTGATAGGAATGATGGCCATGAGTGATTCAGAAACTGAAGATGAAATAAACCAGGTAAATATCTCTAACTTGAAAGAAAACATTCATGTTATGTCTAAAAAATAACCGATGGCCATAATTGTGACCTTGATGAATGAAATGGATAAAATGAGTGCTGAAAATGATCAGCTAATAAGTAATCTTTCATGTGTCAAACTTGATCTCAAAGAGCTTGAATTTAACAGAGCTAATCTAGAGGAATAGGTCAAAGATCTTAAGAACCAGGTTCTTGAGCTTACTTCTAAGAATGAGAAGTCTCTTGATATACATGGTAAATGAAAAATGAGTGATCTGCAGAATAAGCTTGAAAAGGAATGAAAAGGGGCTAAATATAATCTTGGTGATGCTGAATGTAGGAATAAAATCCTACGGGATAATCTAGAAAAGGCTAATTATGAACTCTCTAGATTAAGCAAATGACATAGATCTTCTGATATCTTAAATTGGCTGAATGAAAACTATAGCTCTAACAAATCCGGAATTGGCAACAGAAAACCTGTCCCTAAGTTTGACCCAAAGTATGTAGAAATTTCCGATAATAACATGTGCACTCATTGAGGAAAGGTGGGACACTTTAGAGACACTTGTCCTGCCTTAATTCATGCTATGTTTAGAAGCATCTTTGGTATTGCTAAAAATATAAAGAAGGAAGAGGAGCCAAAAGTCAAGCCTCTTGTCCATACTAAGTGGATTAAGGTTAATAAGAAAATAGCTTCTAATCCTCTCCCTTTCTGGGTAAGAAGAGATCTGATTCATCCCTTTTCAAACAAAAAAGAGACCCAAGCTTGTCTGGGTTCCCAAAACTAACTTGTGAATTCTTGTGCAGGCTAAAGTGGGAGGGAACAATCAAGATTGGTATCTAGATAGTGGATGCTCAATATATATGCCTGAAGAAAAGAAGAACTTCCTCTCACTGACAACCTTCTAAGGAGGGGGTTTGTCATTTGGAAATGGGAAAAGGGCCAGATAACAGGTATTGGCAAGATTTGTAAGTCACTCTTTCATGCTATAGAAGATGTGTATTATGTGGTAGGCCTTAAACACAATCTTCTTAGCATCTCTCAAATATGCGACAAAGGAAATGAGGTAAAATTCAATTTCAAAATTTGCACAGTCACTAGATACTGATGAAATTGTGTTAAAGGGTAAGAGACATAACAATGTCTACAAGATATCGATTATTTCAATTTCCCAGAGTGAGCACACATGCTTGAGTGTAGTGGAAGATGATCCACTGCTATGACATAGAAGACTAGGATATGCTAGTCTCTACCAACTCAACAAGTTGGCAGCAAAGGACTTGGTCCTTGGTCTACCAAAAGTTGAGTTCTCCTCTGACAAGGTGTGTGATGCTTGTATTAGAGGGAAACATGTAAGGTCATCCTTTAAATCTAAAAAGATTGTCAGTACTTCTAAACCTCTTGAACTCCTTCACAGGACCTATGTGGACCAATGTGAGTAAGGGGCAGAGGAGAAAAGAGGTATGTTTTATGATTGTTGATGACTTCTCCAGGTATATATGGACTTTATTTTGGGGATCTAAAAATGAAACCTTTGATATTTTCTATGTATTTTGTTAGAATGATTCAACAAAACTGGGGAGCAATGTATTTAGTATAAGAACTGATCATGGAATTGAGTTTGAAAATTCCAAATTCCTTGAGTTCTGTAGCTCACATGGTATTGACCATAATTTCTCTGCACTTAGAACTCCACAATAAAATGGGGTTGTAGAAAGAAAGCATAGATCTCTAGAAGCCATGAGGAGGACCATGTTGATTGCTAGTGGATTACCTGAGAGTTTCTGGGCTGAGACAGTTAATACTGCCTGTTACCTGCTAAACAGATGCATGGCCAAACCCATTCTTTAGAAAACTCCCTATGAGTTACTTCGAGGAGGAAAACCCAACATCACTCTCCTGAGAGCCTTTGGGTGCAAATGTTTTGTGCGTAATAATGGAAAAGAAGCTCTAGGTAAGTTTGATGATAGAAGTGATGAGAAATTTTTTTTAGGTTACTATCCACATAGTAAGGCCTATAAAGTTTTTAATAAAAGAACTATGTGTGTAAAAGAAAAATATTCATGTTATCTTTAATGAATCTAACAATTTGGCTGAGAAAGGTTTGCAGGATGAAGATTATGACATAGGATTCACTGGTGATAGAGTTACAAAGGAATCTGAACCTCAGTATGAAGATAGATTCGAAGAACACATGGAAATTGATAGTGATCACGAGTAACAAGAAGAAGAAACTCTAACTGCTAACCAGACTGATGAAGCCACACCCACTGAACCTGTTCCTTTGGGTCACTCCTTTGGTGAATTTTCTCTAGGTATACAGATTAGACCATGGTAGCATCAAAGTTCACATCCTATTGAGAATATCATCTCTTATCCAAATGTATGAGTGCGAACCAGGTCTTCTCTAAGAAATCTATGTACACTCACAACATTTCTCTCACAAGTTGAACCTAAGACCATCAAAGAAGCCCTAAAGGATCCAGACTGGATTATGGCAATGCAAGAGTAGTTAAATCAGTTTGAGAGAAGCAAGGTCTGGCACTTGGTACAAAGACCCAAGAACAAAACTGTCATAGGTACCAGATGGATGTTTAGAAACAAGCTAGATAAACAAGGAAATATCACAAAGAACAAGGCCAGACTGGTGGTTCAGGGATAGAATCAAGAGGAGGACATTGACTATGATGAGATGTTTGCACATCTAGATAGAATGGAAGCTATAAGAATGTTGATAGCCTTTGCTGCCCACATGGAGTTCACCTTGTATCAGATGAATGTAAAGAGTGCCTTCTTGAATGTTATCTGAAGTAGGAAGTGTTTGTGAAAAAACCTCCTGGATTTGAAAGTGAAGAATTTCCTGACTATGTGTTCAAGTTGGATAAAGCTCTTTATGGACTGAAACAGGCTCCAAGAGCTTGGTATGAAAGACTCTCAAAGTTTCTCTTAGCCAACAACTTTTTAAGAGGAAAGGTGGACAACACTCTATTTCTAAGAAGGAGAGGGAAGAATATTCTGATTGTGCAAGTGTATGTGGATGACATTATCTTTGGGGCTACCAATGAAGCAATAGATAAGGAATTTGCTGAGATGATGGGAATTGAGTTTGAAATGAGCATGATGGGTGAATTGAACTTCTTTATGGGGCTGCAAATCAAGCAAACACCTACTGGAACCAAGATATATCAACATAAATACATCAAGGAATAACTAAAGAAGTTGAACATGTACTCCTCTAAGTCCATTGAGACTTCCATTACAACTGCAACAAAACTGGAACTTGATGAAGAAGGGAAAAATATTGAACAGAAACTTTATAGAGGAATGGTTGGGTCACTGTTGTACCTCACAGCAAGCATTCTGGATAATGTATTTAGTGTGGGATTGTGTGCAAATCCCAAGGAATCTCACCTGAAGGCTATCAAAAGGATACTAAGATATCTCTATGGGACCCCTGACCTCTGCCTATGGTATCCCAGAGGATATAGTTTTGATGTAGTTTGTTATGCTGATGCTAACTATGTAAGCTTTCATGTTGACGGGAAAAACACTTCAGGAACAACTCATTTTCTAGGTTCTTGTTAGGTGTCTTGGGAAATCGAGAAGCAAAACTCAGTGGCCTTATCTACAACTGAGGCTAAATATATGGCAGCATCATCTTGCTGTGCTCAGTTGCTATGGATAAGACAACAACTAAGGAACTATGGTATATTTGTTGATTGTGTTCCCATTTTCTGTGATAACGCCAGTGCCATAAACATTGCTAAAAATCCATATTAGCACAAGAGAACCAATCCTATTGACATTAGACATCACTTTCTCAGAGACAATGTTGAATAGAGAATGATCTCAATTAACTTTTATAAAAATGAAGATCAAATTACTGATATTTTTACTAAAGCTCTGAGTAGGGATCACTTTGAAAGGAATATACTAGAACTAGGTCTAATCAATTCTTCCAACGAAGTTGAACCCGGTGATTGGCTAGAAAAGTATAATTAGATGTAGATAATTAAGTACAATATGTTTGATTCAACTTCGTGCCTGTATTAAGCACACACACTTGCTTGGAAAATATGGCTGATAACTGTGTTGTATGATACTAATGTGAAGTGTTGAAGCTTAATTGTAGAAATAAGTAAGGAGCTACTAAATGCGTTGGTTATTCGACTCAGGTACGTGCCACATTGTCTTAATTCACTGGGACTTAATATCCTAAAATTATTGTTATGCTCAGATTTCTAACTCTGTTGGCATTACTTCTAGTCTTCTTCTAGTCAAAGAGTAAGGGGGAATCCTAGTGCAATTAAAGTTTAATTACTCCTGAAATCCTAACAGTCAAAGTAACAATTATATGAGTCTCGTTAGAACTTAAATTTGGTCACCTTCTCTCTTCCAGTCAAATCAAGAGTAACGTCTTTAAAAGGCCCCTATGATCAGCTTCTCAGACCTCACTGTTTCTCTCAAACTCTAAGCAAGAATAAGAACAAATATAAAGAACCAATTCTCCTATTCTCTTCATCGAGTCTCTTATCTGATTACCATGCCTAAATCCAGTCAAACCCCCTCTAAATCCAAATTATCATCCAAGGCTGAAGCAAAATCCAAAATCATGAAGCCCAAATCAAAGAAAAGTGCCAAGCTATCAAGTGAACCTATACTAACACCTGCTCCTTCTCCTTCAATATCTTCCACTGTACCTGCATCATCATCCTATGTTCCTGCTGCTCTCACCATTCCCACCTCCACTGCATCCCCACTTCCAAAACCAACCACCCATGCACCTGAGCCTACTGCGAAAAATACCTCTAAGTCAACCAAGTTCAAGGCTACTCCAAGAAAATCTGTCAAGAAAGTGCCTGATGCTGTTACTAAGGTAGACACAGTGGTCAAGGAATCTGTGGTTCAGGGGGAATCAGTGCCAGTCATTGCTAATCAGGTACAAAATCCTCATTCAAAATTAGATGTTTTGGTATCTAATATATATGTTGCACCCTTAGACTCTCTCCCATCCACGAGTGAGAAACCAAAAGTAGAAGAATTCACCGTAGAAAATGGTGTATGTGATATGGGGAAAGAGGTAGATACTACTACTGTGGGGCCTGTGGTTGAGGGGGAAAGAAGTAAAGAACCAATGCAAAAGGAGGCATCTGATAGTCTTTCATTTAGCTGGACGGAGAATGAGGATGATGATGGGGGTAAAAAAAAGAAGAAGTCGTGGACAATCATGATGAGCATGATGCTCAAGACATAGTTAATGAAGAAGAAAACTCTGAGAATAAGGGAGCATCTGGAGATGAGAAGGAGAGTGATACGGATGATAAGATAGGTAAACAAGTAAATGATTCTGCAGAAGAAGAAAATCATAGTGAAGTTGAGGACAATTCTGAGAGTGAGGGTGAGGATCAAGAAAAAGTAAGTGAGAGTGAAGGAGTGGATGAAGAGAGTGAGGAAGAGAATAAGAATTTGAGTGAAAAGTCTGAAGGCTTTATGCCCAATGGGAACACTGTCATAGCCCCTTCAGAAGAAACTGGTGAAGAGAAAAGGACTCAGAAACCTAGGTCTCTGCTAACTCCTTTCACTGGAGATGAAGAGGTTAGAAGTGCCAAGAAGCCAAGGAAGAAGGTCTCAATTGTGGAACCTATGGTTGAGCTGGATGGAGAGGATGAGTCTGAGTCTGCCTCGCTAACTAAGTCCTCTACACCAAAGAGAAAGGTTGCCAAAATTACAAAAACTGCTATGCCTTCTGCAAGGACCAGTAGGGGAAATACAAGAAAGAATGTGCCGGCTGCAGTTGATCGACTCACAAAGTTCAGGAACAGATAAGTGCTTAATGGAAAGATTCTTACAAACACTGATGAGAAGGGGATAGCTCAACTAGTAGAAAAACTTGAACTATAGGGGTGGAAGCACATGTTTGTCAAAGTTTTCCCTCTTGTATGTGTTCTTGTTGTGGTGGAGTTCTATGCAAATTTGAATTTTGATGGGTAGGTAGTAAAAATTAATATAGTGGGGTTTGAAATGGAGTTTGATGCTGAGGAGCTGGGGATGCTTCTGAATATCTCTTCTTTGGGATTTGAAAATTACTTGAAGAAAAAGTGGTCAGCCATAGACAATGATGTTGACACTGGCATTATGGTCACAAGAAAGTTTTCTCAAAAGTTTGAACTAGATATTCCCCAGAAGGTGCACAAGACTGATATGACTCCCTTTCACAAGCTGTTGTTTCATTTGTCAATTGCTGCATTCTTTAGAGGTCTGAGAGAAGGCATGAAGCTACCATGCTGGATATGGCTGTAATGGAACATCTTGACACTGGTAGACCTATCAATCTCCCTAGCATGATGACTCAGCATATGGCAAGAGTTGCATACCTTTCCAAGCCTAAGTATGCTATGCCTTATGGTTTCATATGGACTGAGCTGTTTGACAAGATCAACATTGCCTTGCCTGAGCTTAAGTATGGAAACCACAATGATGTTTTGGATGCTGTTACCCTCAAGCAGTGTGGCTATGAGGAGATCAAGGCTAGAGGACCCACATGATCTGCTATTCTACCTGGGAGCAACAAGGCTGCAGAGCTCAGTAAGAGATTTGAGTTAGCTGTTCAAGAGAATGTCAAGCTTCACGAATACAATGATGAGCTGAGAAAGGAAACCACACAACTTAGGGAAGAGCTCAGAAGAGATAAGGAAGCTCATGCCCAACAGATTGCCACTCTTGTGAAAGCATTGACCCCCCTCTACCTCTCACCATGAACCTGCTCATTCCCAATGTCCTTAATTTCCTTTTGTCTATTCCATTGACCCCCTCTACCTATTCCAGTGATGCTTTATCATTTTTTTCTTCTTTTGTCTTAGTCTGAGTAGTTTGCAGTATGCTTAGTTTATTTTGTTCAAATGGTTTAAGACGAGGCCCTGGGTTTATTTTGGCACTACTTAATGTCTCATCTTGTACTGCATTACTTCTTTGTGCAATATTGGATCTTCAGCCTAGTATGTTTGCCTTGATATTTCTTAATCTTCTGTTGTAGCCTATTTGGCCTTGAATCTTACGTTATCTATGCTTTATCTATCTAACATCTTTTTGTTTTCGATGACGCCAAAAGGGGTAGATAAGGTTGGGAGGTTGTGAACATACATGTCTGTCAATAGTGGGTTGTGAACATACACGTCTGTCAATAGTGCTTGTAGTGAATATCTGGTTCTTTGTTGTGATTGCCTGGTTCTGTACTGCTTGTTGTGTACAAAGTTTGTCATCATCAAAAAGGGGAAATTTGTTGAGTATTATTGAGGTTTTGATGATTAACAAAGTATGTCTAAATACAATGATTTAAAGAACCAAGTCCTCAAGATAGCTGCTTAATTGTTCTAAGAACTAGCTCCTCAGGATAAAGAACCAACTCCTCAAGTTGATGATTGTATGTCTATACAAGACGGTAACTTTATCTCAAAGTTACCCAAGTCTGAGTTTGGTGGAAGAAGGCTGGTACATGAGATAAGGGTTGTTGCTCAAGAAGATACATATAATTCAGTCCGAGACAAGAGTCCCAAAGCTTGTGGAATCCTTGGAACAGTAGGAGTCCTATCAAAGGAGAATCTAACTATGTATAGGACTCCTAGAAGATCTCATATTTATGCGTTTAAATACTATCTACTTTGGACTTCTGCTTTTATCATTTACACATCAACTAAAGAGTCATATGTTGTTCACTCTTGTCGAGTACTTGCATTGTATTCTTCTTGAGTCAGTATAGCAAATGTGTTTTAGGAAATCGAGTTGTTATCAAGTGTCACAAATAATTACTGAGTTGGAGTGAGTGTTTGCTTTACAAGTTAGAGTAACTTGTAAATCAACTAGTCGTAGTAGGAGTACTGGAGAGTATTGAATTACAGTCTTGTAATTAATACATTTTTGGCTCATTGTTCTAGTGGAGTTGAAGTTTAAAATCCTACGCAGTAGGTCGTGATTTTTGCACCTTTTGAGCCAAGTGATTTTCCATGTAAAAACTGCTTATTATTATTTACTTTACTTCAAGTTAAGGAACACGGTAAAGAACCAAGCTCTTTAGTGAATCATACGGACACTCAAATTAATACAAAATAATGGATGTATACATTTATGTTAGTCAAGTCTTTAAATGTAGTAGATCATTTGAAACACCTCCAAAAGACTTTCGACGTCCTAAGGAAACATATCATGAAGTTCAACCCAAAAAAATATGTGTTTGGGGTTGGTTTCGGTAAGTTCTTAGGGTTCCTGGTCTCGCAAAGAGGGATCGAGGTAAATTTCGACAAAAATCAAAGCTATCGAGGACATTCCAGACTAGTTGACAAATGTGAAAAAAGTACAGAGGTTGACCGGGAGGTTAGCGACTCTAAGCAGATTCATCTCGAGAACCTCGAAGAAGTGACATCACTTCTTTTCGCTTCTAAAAAAAAGAATGATTTCGAGTGGACTCTGGAATGCCAACAGGAATTGACGGATCAAATAAGGTACCTATCCAGTCCCTCGTTACTGTCAAGACCGGTGGAAGGCGAACAATTATTGATATATCTAGCGGTCTCGGAGGTAGCGGTAAGTGCAACTTTGGTCTGAGATGAAGAAGGTACATAATTTCCCTTTTATTATGTTAGTAAGATATTATCGAAATCAGAAACCCATTAATTACACCTCGAAAAGTTGGCCTTGTCTCTCGTAGTTTCCTCGCAAAAGCTTAGGCCCTATTTTCAGTGCCACCCGATAGCCGTTGTGAAAACCTTTCCGTTATGGAATATGCTTCACAAGCCTGAATTGTCAGGCCATTTGGCTAAATGGACAGTCGAAATTAGTGAGTTCGACATTGAGTACAAACCCACGACTGTGATCAAGCCGCAAGTTTTGGATGACTTTGTGGCCGATTTTGTTCCCGGGTTAATGCCCTCAGCTGCTAAAGAAGCAGTTCTGGTGTCGGAAACGACATTGGGAGTTTGGATCTTATCTACGGATGGATCTTCTAATGTAAAAGGGTCCGGTCTCGGGATAGTTCTAGTCACACCCTCAGGAGAAACCCCGAGGCTGGCCATTAAAATTGTTTCGTTAACTAACAATGAAGCCGAGTATGAGGCTTTGGTTGCAGGACTTGAATTATCTTGGGGACAAGGATCCGAGGTCATCGAAGTAAAATGCGACTCCCAGCTGGTAGTAAACCTAGTGTATGGGATTTTCGATGCAAAGGAAGAACGCATGCAACAATATTTGAACAAGGTTCAAGCATTTCTTGCACGTTTCAGGGAATGGTCAATCATACATATTCCAAGGGAAGAAAATGTAGAAGCGGATGGATTGGCCAATTTGGGGTCGTCGACGAAGATGAAAAGATCTAACTCCGATACAGTTATTCAACTTTTGCACTCGGTATTGGATGTGGATGGTTACTGTGAGGTCAATTCAACCAACTTAGTCTGGGACTGGAGGAATGAGTTCGTCGAGTACCTTCGGCATGGCAAGTTACCCAAAGACCTGAAGTCATCCCGGGCTTTACGAACCAAAGCAACCCGTTAATGCCTCGTAGATGGTAGTTAAACAAAAGATCATACCAAGGACAATTGGCCCGGTGTCTGGGGGCCTCCTAGGTGGACTACGTGATGAGGGAAGTTCGCGAAGGAGTCTGCGGCAATCACTCTAGTGCAGATTCATTAGCTTTAAAGTTGATTAGGGCAAGTTACTATTGGCCTCGGATGGAATAGGATGCAAAGACGTTCGTTCATAAGTGTGAGATGTGTCAACGCTATGCATATTTTGTACACCGACCGGCGGAATGACGAGCGCAAAACACGCACTTAAATTGTGCTCGCTAGTCAAAGATAGTATAGTATAACTTGATTGCTATCCAGGAGAATCAACTGTAGAGATTTATATGATTAATAATAAAATTTAACTAAGAATCTAAAATCTACAGCTATTGACTAGTGACTATCAAAACAAGGAATAAGCAATTAAGGTTATCAGTGGAAGAAGATAGGGTTTTGACGGAATAAGTGCAAGATAATTGTTCGGGATCTAACGCTAGATAATTCACTTCTAATGTTCAAGTGAGTCTCTCGAATTCACTCTATTATTAGTTCAAACGTTCAGCAAACCTCCTCTCTCGATTAAGTCTTAACCTCATGAGATGAACCAATTTAAGCACTGTGAAGATATGCAAGAATGCGTAGTGGATCGGTCTTTAGGAAAACTTCTTTCGATTATTCCCCTAACTAGATTTAATCAATGATTAAACTAGCTTCTTTCGATTACTTAGAAGAATCTATGAACTCAACCAACAATATAATGCAAAGATATCACAAGTTATGCCTCTTTCGATTACAAGAACAAGTGAATATACATGCAACAATTAAATCATCCAAACACGATTCAAATACATAAAAATAGAGTTATAATCCATAAATAATCATAAATACACCAAATTCATCAAAATCCAAAAGGATTTACTCCATAGACATGGAGAAGTTCTTCACAAATGTAATTAAAGTATAGGAAAACATAAATATAATCCAAACCCAATCTTGAGTGAGGAATGAATGATGAAATTCTTGTGCTTGTATTCTTCTAACTCCTCCTTAGCCTCTTAGGCCTCCTTAGGTCGAAAATATGTCAAAAGTCCCGAAAATGGTGTTTTCCGTGTATTTAAGCCACGCCCCAATAATACCCGAACGAAATTACCCTTTTTTATCACGCCCGAACTCGGGGAGCGCGACCGGCGCTTAACCGAGTGAACCCGGTCAAGAAAGCTTGTTAGATACTTTCTACCCAAACTCACTTATGAATAAATAGGATACATATTT